TGACTAGATCAAATATTTCCAAGCCCCGGAACACGCTCTCAATTCGGTTGAGGCGTTCACTTTATGATTTGAAACAATCCGAAAGAATGTGGTGTAACCATCTTAGTGAGTATTTGACTAGTCAAGGATATGTAAACAACGAATTGTGCCCTTATGTGTTCATTAAGAAGTCACATTTTGGTTTTGTGATAGTTGCATTATATGTCGATGACATGAACCTTATCGGAACTCTTGAAGAGCTCGTCAGAACTGCCATGCACCTGAAGTCGGAATTTGAGATCAAAGATATCAAGATAGAACACCGTTCAAATGGAATCCTAGTACATCAAACGAACTACACCAAAAGGTGTTGCGCCGCTTTAACGAGGATAAAATGAAGCCTTCGAGTACTCGTATGGTTGTTTAATCGCTAGATGCAAAATGAGATCATTTTCGTTCAAATAAGGATGATGAAGAGATTTTGGAGCCTGAAGTTCCTTATCTAAGTGCGATAGGAACTTTATTATACTTAGCTCAATGCACCAGACCTAACATCTCATTTGCTGTTAATCTTTTGGTAAGATACAGTAATGCACCAACATGCAGACACTGGACTGGTGTGAAAGACATCTTCTGTTACCTTACGGGTACTAGAGATTTGGGCTTGTTCTATCCCTATGGATCCTCGAGTGATGTTGTATCCTTTGCCTCTTGAGTTGATTCTCGCCTTGTTGGTTATGCCCATGCAGGATACTTATCTGATCCACACAAGGTACGTTCTCAAACAGGTTATGTCTTTACCGTTTGAGGCATCACAATCTCTTGGAGGTCAACTAAATAGACTTTAGTTGCCACTTCGTCTAACCATGCTGAAATTCTCGCCTTACATGAAGTAACTTGGGAATGCTTTTGGTTGAGAGCAGTTATGGGCCATATTCGAAGCTTCTGCGATCTCTACCCCACCGTAGATTTCCATACGACGATCTTTGAAGACAAAGCAGCATGCATCGAACAGCTCAAGAAGGGTTACATAAAAAAAGACAACACCAAGCACATTGCGCCGAAGTTCTTCTTTTCACATCAACAACAAGAGTATCAAAAGATTGAAGTCACACAAATCTATTCACAAGACAATCTGGCCGACCTCTTCACTATTGAAGGCGACATTTCAGAAGTATGTTCAAGGAATTGATAAACATAAACTTTCTGAGTTGTAACATTGCTATTTCTCTTTGGAATTGTGTCAAACTCAGGGGGAATATCTGGAAGCATACTTGCTTGATCTTAATGTACTTCTTTTTCCCTACAATTAGTAGCATTTTTCCCATTGGGGTTTTGCTACCTAACTAGGTTTTATTGAGGTACCCACCTTGGGTTTATCATATCCCTGACGATGTCCTGTAGACGTTTCTTTTGACTTTGCATTTCTCACTCATTTTTCCTTAGACTATGGATTTTGTCCCTACTCGGGTTTTTGCCATAGCCTTAGGGTTTTTTAGTGAGACTTACTACTTTATGCAAGTTCCTACCTCATTGAGAATAAGTGTTGTTCCTTAGAATTAGTGTCGACGAGTCGACTTCCTTAACTTCTGCATGATGCTTGATCTACCTTGACTATTTACACACTCAAGATGGAGTGTTGTGAACTTCCTTAGTTTAAGTATGATTGTGTAAATCCTAGATTATATTTGATTCTAGTTATTCTTTCTTATTTGGACTTGTTTTCCTTGGGGATGAATGATTTCTTCTCTCCTTTTACGACTATAAATAAAGGCACTACGTAGGGGGGATAGCAACATCCTTAATACACAATTCCTCTACAATTTTACAAACACATCTCTCGTCTCTCTCTCTACCCTTGCCGCCGGCCCTCTTCCCTTTGTCAGATAAAATAAGCAGCAACAGTACTAGTAATGTCATTGTTCGTAGAAATATCTATGATAAATTTAAAATTTGAAAATATTAAGCATTAATCACTGATCGATATAGTTGTAAGTTTAAATTCAACAATTGACAATGACTATATGCATATCTAAGACAAAACTAATCCTGATTTAGAGGATAATCCAGATATTTATTCCATACCTTCCATATCAGCAGTCCATGTACTCAAAAAGTAAAATTCATGTTAACTTCAGTAGGTAACATTTCAACATCAACTTGATTAAATATCCAAATTCACAAAATTTAAAAGCGATCCATAAATCTTCGTAGATCCTTCTCATCGAGGTATTCGGTTTGCAATACGTCATGCATATGCCTTCGTATGAAGTCAAGGTGGTGGCTTTGTCAGCTTCACCAACTGGAACATCCGTCTCAGCTTTTATGGTAGCTCTAAGGTTTTTAGTGGCGAGTTGGAGCTTCCAATCTTGGACCCACTTTAGGTAATTTCTTTCAGAGACTTCCAAAGCGATAAAGTTAAGTTTGTCCAATTCAGCATGTCCCTGTCAAAAAAAAAAAAAAAGGACAAGAGTTTGGTTAGTGGAATGGGGACAAAAATGTATCAATCCATACCCAAGGAGTAGGACATTCAGGTTCTATTAAACATCCCAGTGGGGCTAGGGTTCGATCTAGACCACCCAAGCGGTGCTGGGTGTGGGTACATCGAGGCGAGCCACTGGTTTAACTGTAACCCTAGGTTTTCGATAGAAAGTTGGTTTCAACGTCGGGGATGTAGAGAACCGTAGGGATTAGACGAAATTCTTCTGAAATTTTGAACAACATTGTTGAAGAGTTCAGTCCAAGAACATGATTGAAGGTCGTGATTTTCCAAAAAAATTGGTGTGGCAGTGAGCGTAGTTTAGGTGAGCAGATCTGGGTTTGGGGGGAGGGGAGGGGACAATGCCAAAACGACATCATTCTGGTTCTCCGGTGGACCAGATGGCTCCTTGGCTTGGCTAAGCTTCGCCGGCTGCTAGCCTGGTGTTGCTGCTTGAGTGGCTCAGCGGCAGCTGCGGGTTGCTCGGAATTTTTTTTCAAAACCCTAAACTTTGTTTTTTTCCTTTCACAACACTAATTCATAAAATATAAAAATATTTTAAATATAATGCAAATACAATTATTCGGAAAGCGTAAAGTTGGGTTCATGCATTATGTAAAGGTTCATGCAATTATGGTTGAAAAATATCAACTATTAAGACAGTGTTTTAGAAGAACCTAAATTAGTTGATGATATTGGTGAATTGGTTTGTAGCACAGCTTAGGAGCGCGTTGATAACGTGTTGTGACCTATTTTATCTGAGGGAGAGAGGGCGTGACATCAATAGAGATAGTGGAGAAATTGTAGAATGCTTGGAGATTGTTGTGGTTCTCCCTATACAGTGCTTTTGTTTATAGTAAACCAACAAGAGAGGATTAAATTGCCCTCCAAATAAGAACAATCATACAGAAAAAGAATCAATAAAGTAAGATAAATTTTATTTGAACCCATACAACCATTTTCTACACCCAACTTACTCTTTACACCCATATTATTCTTAATTAAAGAATCAATCTCTTTTTAAACCTAAATTTACTATCTAAACTACCCTCATAAACTCAATTCAATATATAAAAATTCATCTTTACACCCTTTTAGAAAGCAAAAGCAAGATGAGGTCATTGATCACTTCGTGAAGCAAGCCTCATCACTTGATGGCTCCGCCCTCGACCCCCTAGTCGCATAAGTCACCTCCCACCCTGCCCTTTTTGCCTTTTCGAAAATTATCGCTATCCCTAATGTTCTTCAAGTTCCCATGTTTTTATTTATTTATTGTGGAAGTTTCATTTTTCTGTGTATATTTTGGTGGTGTAGTTTCTGGGTTTGAGCAAATGATGTATAATCAGAATTTTGTTGCAACCAAAGACAAAATAAAATTGTTGATTGTTACTGGGTCTTGTTTCATATGCATTTGTTTTTTTTACTGTGGAATATGTGCAGCTTGAAGGAACTGAAAATTATGTCTACCTCGATGTGCTTCGATTGTTTGCATATGGCACATGGAGTGATTACAAGAGTAAGCATGCAAAAATCGCTTCATCTTTTGGTCGAGTTTCTAATAGATGAATTGATCAGCAGCATCAATTTGTTGAAAGCTTTCTGACTCTTTTGTTTCTTGTGGTGATATTGCTTGTAATTATTGCTCTTACTGATCTAGTTAACATGAAGCTAGAGAGGAAACGAAAAGCAACCAAATTTGATTATTAGGTGATCGTAGGGTTTTATGGTAGCTCTTAGGAATTTAGTCAAAATGAATGTAGGATAAAGATTGTGTGCTGGTAGAACTTAATTATTGAGTTTGAGTTTATTGATAAATTTTAGTTTTATTCTTAATTTCATCTTTTATTTGATGGTAATTATGCGTTAAGATAAAATAGACAATTCACATTTATAATTTAAGTTGAGTGTAGAAAGAGGTTAGATGAGTTCAAATAAAATTTCCCTAAACCAATGGATAATGTAAAATCTAAATCTATCTAGAATTTGCACAATTATAATTAGATAACATTTATTACCTTTTTAAAATACCAATAATAATTCTCAATTAATTTATTAAATTATCAATCATGTCCTTGTCAACTACTTATGTTATAGTTATTGGGTAAGACCCGTCACATACCTTTTTAACGCATGCTTTTGTGCCACGTTTTGTGGGATCCACTTTTTAATGTATTTCAATGATTCGAGATGTATATCTTTTAGTACATAGACAATCCACCTTCCATTTGATCATCTTTGCAAAGACATAAACAAATTCAAAATCATTAAGACATTATTAAGTGAAGAAAATGACCGAATACAATTCTACAAAAAAATCTTTTAAGTACTCCGAGTGTTTTGACCAGAAATCTTAATTTTTATATTTGTAAACAACGATCTAACGGTTAGCATCCAAGAAAGTCCCCTAGTTCTTAACGCATCTCCTGGCGACCATACAATTTTGTGCAGACGGTATCTATCAACCTCATAATTGTCTTATTTTCTATAGAGATTGGTATCTGTCAACCTCATAATTGTCTTCTTTTCTATAGAGATCCTTCTGAGAGATCCTTCATTTCCAACCCCGCTTTCTTCTACAAATACGTTGTAACACAAACACTTTGCAGGCACGCATAATATTACACTAGTATACGAACGAGCCCAGATTCCAGAACAACAATGGCGGATGAACCTTCTTCTCCGAACCCGGCAGCCTCCATCGACCTCTACAAATTCATCCTCCCAAACCCAGACGGCTCCCTCAACCGCGCCACCCCATTATTCCCCATTGTCCCCCCAACTCTGACTCCACCAGCTGAGTCCTTTCGCACCAAGTCAAACTCCAACACGCCCCAACTCGTCCTCTCCAAGGACATTCCCTTAAACCCAGAAACCAAAACCTTCCTGAGGCTCTTCAAACCCCACCCACTCCCCCCAAACCCCCACCTCGCTCTCATCCTCTACTTCCACGGCGGCGGCTTCGTCCTCTTCTCCGCCGCCTCCAAACCCTACCACGACACCTGTTCCGAAATGGCTCTTTCCCTCCGAGCCATAATCGTCTCCGTCGACTACCGTTTAGCTCCTGAACACCCTCTCCCGTCTGCATTCGATGACGCCGTCGAAGCCATCGCCTGGGCCCGCAGCCAGGCCTCCGACGTCGATGGCCGCGATCCCTGGCTGAAAGACGCGGTCGACTTCTCCAAGTGCTTTTTAATGGGCAGCAGCGCCGGGGGAACTATGGTCTACCATGCGGGTGTACGCGTCTCCGATGTCGATCTCTCGCCGTTGACGATCCGAGGGCTGATATTCAACCAGCCTTATTTCGGAGGGGTCCAGAGGACTCAATCTGAGTTGAAGCTGATCGACGATCAGGTTCTACCGTTGGTCACCAGTGACATGATGTGGGGCCATGCTTTGCCGAAGGGAGTGGATCTGGACCACGAGTATTGTAATCCGACGGTGAGAGGTGGGGACAGGAGGATGCGACGGTTGCCCAAGTGCTTGGTTAGAGGGAACGGCGGGGACCCACTTCTGGATAGGCAGAGGGAGTTTGCGGCATTGCTGGAGTCACGTGGGGTGCACGTGGTGTCCAAATTTGACGAGGGTGGTTGTCATGCTGTGGAGCTCTTTGATCCCGGCATGGCCCAAGTTCTGTACGACATTATTGGGGATTTTATAGAGTGCTGCTGTGAATAAGAAAAAAACAAAACGAACATAATTCAACATTTATTGTGTCACTTAATACTACGGTTTAGTAGTATTTATCTCCATTTGTAAGTGAGAAGTTTTACGTTCAATTTTCGCCAAAGGTGAATTTGAACCACATTATTGCTAGCCCATTATAAGGCTAGGCACACCCCCCCTTAGTGTAGATATTTTCGGTTGTTAAAAAAAGAAAATTCAACATTCCTTGTAGGGGTGGGTTTGATTCCGAATAATTTGGTTTTTTGCCAAAATCGAAAATTGAATAGAAGTCACGATTTAATTCGGTTGTGTTAGATTTCTCTTTGGGTTATTTTTTTTTTTCCAGTTTTTTTCTTTGGTTTTTCGATCCCACCCCTATTTCCTTGAGTTGGAGTTTACTTCTTTTTTTTTCAATTGATGATTGTAAAAGAGTAATGCTAAAGAGACTAAATTTAGAGACTGATAACTCATATATTTCATGCATTTATACCATCCATTTCTAGTCTCTTTGTGATGTTTTTGAGTTAAACTGGTTGCATTTTACCTTATTTTGTGTTATTGTGCAGTTACATGTACTTTAGGATCAATTTGAAGGCAAAAGAAGTGAAAATATGCCATTTGTTGGGTTGACCCTTATTTAAACGTGGAAATAAATTGTTACTTGTTTTGCAGCCCAAATAAAGAATCCAAAGCGAATCTGGCATGTTAGAAGACTAGGAGCAAAATGGGAAAGGAATTGGAATATCTAGCTTGATTTGGAGGAGCCAAATAAGGAAAAAGGTTTAAACTTTGGCTTAATGGTTGGGATCACCTTGCAATCAGCTACAGCCCCATTTAGCCTATAAATACTAGGGTTTCAGATTACTTTTTCATAAGCCCTCTTAGGGTCGCCCATAGCTCTATCTTCTCTTTCTTTAGCCTTTCTTCCAAAAACAAAACCCTATTTTCCTTCACATCAGCAGCCACCAAAGAAACCACGCAGCCGTGCTGTTATTGGAGAAGTTCAACATCAGAATTGCTTTAAGGGGGTTTCTTCTATGAACTTTAATTTCACTCATGTTGTTCTTGATGTTTATATATTTTGTAATCATGTTGTGTAATTAAGTTCATAGCTGGGGATTTCGATATAGCCTTGCAAAACTACTCTTTGTTATTAAGTTAAAGTATTCAAATTACCAATATGTGTTATTGTTTCATTCATTGATTTTATAGTTTAATTTGTTTGTTAATCTTAATGTTTGATCACCATTAGGACTGCTTATGAATTATTTGATCAAGGTTATAGTACACATCATGCTTAATCTTGGTAGACATGTGAATGAATGAAGAAACTGCTATGCATACATCCTGCCATGTGATTTCTTTGGTTCTTTGAAGTTTTCTTGTTCTTAATGGATTCTTAGTTGGTAATCTAAGTTGAACATCACAACTAGGTTGCAGATTAGGAGTACTTGATCACACCCACACATCAAATGGATGATCATAAATGAGTAAAACGAACCTTAGTTGCACATTGGACAGTTGAATGTGTTTTGACTTAATTTTCATGGAATTGGCTTGTAATGGTGAAATCGGTATCCCTAGTTCCATTCCCATCGTTTCTGAATCATTCTATTATTCTTATTTACATTCTCTTGCATATTAAGTTACTTTACTTTTCAAATCAAAATCCAAACTCAATTTGTTAGTTTCATTGTTTAGTTAGGGTTCACATAAAAATAGTAATTTGTAGAGGTCTAATAAGTCCCTGTGGTTAGACACCCTTACTTGTGCTATTTTACTATCCTTATATTTGTACTTGAAAAGAACACAACAAAATTTTGGCGCCATTGTCGGGGACTGATTTCAATCCCCTTTAATTGCTTGCTTTATAAACCCTATCTGTTTTTTCTTTTCTTAGTTTAGATTTTCAATTTACATTTTAGGTTGTTTGCTTTTACGTGGTATAAAAAGATGTATGGTGTATGTCCATTATGTTCTAAGACTGGTCATCCTTTTCAGTTCTGCCTAAGGAAAGATGAGTTTCCTACATTTGTCCAAGAGTACTTACACTGCATGTGTTTCTCTAACCAAGAGCCACTGCAACCATTGTCAAACACATATAGCCCTTCTTGGAGGAACTCTGATCATGGCTCTTGGAACAACATAGAAGCTTCAAATCAAGCATTTGCACCTCCATCACAGCGGGAATCCTTTGACACTTTATTGGAGGACACTTTCGAGCTACTTGCTCAAAGCACTTTACAATTTCAATAATCAACGAGTAGCATGATTCAAGAACACTCAATTGCACTTACCAAGTTGGAAATTCAGTTGGGGCAAATTGTCCAAGCGTTAAATGAACATCAATCTGGTGGTGATGATCAAGAAGAGGATGAGGAACTACCAAAGGAAGCTTGCTGTGCATATTTTCATGAGGTTCTTGAGCTTCATAAAGATGAAGAGCCTTTCATTCCTCCCAAGCCATATGTTCCACCAATTCATTTTCCAGGGAGATTTGTCAAATAAAAGCATGATGAGTCACCCATAGATGTGCTTAGTGAAACTGGGTCGCACATAGTGTTTGAAGCTCTTCCTCTATCCCTTAATTTAATTGAATGTTTTTCAAAATCAGTGCCGGATTCTCCATGTTGTTTTACATCTTTTCAGGTGCCATATTTGGAGTCTTTTGGAGATGATTTGCTGCCATATCAAGAGGAAAATAAATTGAAGTTGGATGACAAATCATTGTTGCACATTCACCATAAGAAAAGAAGATTCAGAGCTAGACGATGAGATTGCTGCCTTGCACGAATTTCATTCATCCTTAGTAGCCACAAACTCATCCATTGAAATTATTGCTCCGCCCACATCTTCAAATTTTTTTGAGGATCTGCTTCTTCGCAAGGAGAGACGAAAACACCATCACAATCAAGTCTTTGTCAAAATTCAACGCAGCATATTCAAAGTCCATCAAAAGAAACCACTTCTTTTGACCAAGGTTCGGAGGTACCTTGACTTCCTGCCACCCTAGGCGTTCATCCATCATACCCACCACGTCTTGCCTAGACGTTAAAGAAAGCGCTTGCTAGGAGGCAACCTAGCTGGGTTTGTGTTCTTTCCTTTTATTTGTGTCTTTTAGTTCCACACGCTCTGCCTATTTACATTGCATGCATTCCATTCATTTTTAAGCATCGAGGACAATGCTTAGTTTAGGTTTGGGGGTGTGGGATTGAAAATTTTCGTTTGTTTTTAGTTTTGGTTAAGTTTGCTTTTGCTTACTAATGTGAATGTATATGAGGGCTATGTTTACAAACAAAACTATAGTGTTGTCATGAAAAAGTTTCGTATCTTATTTTCTTTTACAAAGCTGTTACTCTTGGAATTATGATTGTTAAAGTACCATGCGCAAATTCTGGAAGAAGAATAGTGGAGACTACCTTAGTGAGTTATTTTGAGCCTATTTGCTTCTTTGAGAGGGTTTAAAGTGTTTCTGCTCTTATCTTTTTCTTTCAATTTCACTTTAAATGATCTCATTATTTCTCTTTGATTGAATGCTAAGAATAATCCTATGTTGCAGATACCATGTGTTTATTATCACCTATGAATGAACTCATTGAGATGATGTTAGGTTATGCATGTTTTAACCACTAAAAGGCCTAATTCCCATCCCTTTGTGTGCTCTATTTACCCATGTTGCAGCCAAACACTTTTAGCCTAGTTCCTTCATCACCCATACCAAACTCTATCAATTTTAGCCCATTACAACCATACCTTATAGTTTGGGGAATACCAAAGTGGTGAAGACAAAGATAGATTAAGCTTTGCTGGTTTCACAACAAAGACACTTTGGTATGTCCCAAGATCTAGTATTTCTTATCCTTTCTTTCATAGCCCATAGCCTAAGCTTTACATTATAACCTTGTGAAAGACCTAGCTGATCTTTGGGGATGTATTCATAGGTGCTGGTAAGTACGTGTGCTATCCATATTTTTAGTATTTGATTCATTTCATGAGATCTATTAAGAAATTGTGCTTTTATTTCATATTTCATATGTGAGAATTTTTGAATCCCTTTTACATAATTTCACTCACATATGTTTATGGAGAGATTACACCTTAGGATCTGAGTGAAAATTTAAGTGATATCTGTGAGGAATAAAGTTGAGGCGAATTCTATCTTTAGCATTTGAGTATGGTGTCTTTGAAGTCATGAATCATAGAGTAATATTTTTACACTTTACACATGATACAATTCATTGAAGTGGCAGACTTTTGGTTTGGATGTATGACTAAGCTTTCATTGGTTCTTATTAGTTTTGATTGAAGTATGCTTTAACCAATTTGTTTGCAGAGTCTGTAGATGTTTGTGGGCATCATCACTGTAAACCCTCAGGAGACACAACTCCTCTGACTAGGGACACCTAGAGGTTTAAAGGCTTGTTGCACATGCTCAATGCAATCGTTTAGCCAACGAAAGTGGTATAGTTAGATTTTATTGTTTTTGTGTGTTTTTAGTTATAGTTTTGCTCGAGGACTAGCAAAAACTAGGTTTTGGGGTATTTGATAACTCATATATTTCATGCATTTATACCATCCATTTCTAGTCTCTTTGTGATGTTTTTAAGTTAAATTGGTTGCATTTTACCTTATTTTGTATTAGTGTATAGTTACATGTACTTTAGGATCAATTTGAAGGCAAAATAAGTGAAAAGATGCCATTTTTTTGGTTGACCGTTATTCAAACGTGGAAATAAATTGTTACTTGTTTTGAAGCCCAAATAAAGAATCCAAAGCAAATCTGTCTTGTTAGAACACCAGGAGCAGAATGGGAAAGGAATTGGAATATCTAGCTTGATTTGGAGGAGCCAAATAAGGAAAAACGTTCAAAACTTTGGCTTAATTGTTGGGATCACCTTGCAATCAACTACAACCCCATTTAGCCTATAAATACTAGGGTTTCATATCACCTTTTCACAAACCCCCTTGGGGTCGCCCATAGCTCTCTCTCTTCTCTTTCTTTAGCCTTTCTTCCAGAAACAAAACCCTATTTGCCTTCACCATCAACAACCACCAAAGAAACCACAAAGCCGCGCTGTTCTTGGAGAAGTTCAACTTCAGAATTACTTTAAGGGGGTTTCTTCTATGAACTTTAATTTCACTCATGTTGTTCTTGATATTTATATATTATGTAATCATGTTGTGTAATTAAGTTCATAGCTGGGGATTTCGATGTAGCCTTGTAAAACTACTCTTTGTTATTAAGTTAAAGTATTCAAATTACCAATCTATGTTCTTGTTTCATTCACTGATTTTATAGTTTAATTTGTTTGTT